GCGCCACCTCACAGCATCCTGGGGCATGCATGACTCAAAGGAAGGCAAGGAATCACCTACTGACTCAACAGCTTCCCATCATCCCTGGGTTTTCCCCGCTGGTCTCCCCTCCCCGCTTAGCTCCCGAGCTGGGACACCCACCAGCTCTGGTGGGGGGCGGCTGGGAGCGTGGCTGGCTCCAGACCCCCCTCCCCAGCTGGAACTGCTACGGTCACTGCTTGGTCCCTAACAAACTAAGGTGGCTCTGGGCACATGCCTGGGGATTGTTGGCAGGAAGTTTTGCTGAGACAGTGAGGTTTTGTGTCCGTCATCTTGGTGAATCCAGTCACTCTACCGGGGGCTGGCGGGCAGGGGGAGGCCGAGCGCGGCGATAACGGCTCGGGGGAACGCTCTGTCTCTCTCCCAGGACAGAGACGCTGCGGATCCAACTGACAGCAGGAGATTCAACCTGCCTGGAGCATCCCTGATCACAGTGCATCAGAACATGGCAGCCATCCAGGTGAGTCTCTGGCCTGTCTCCGGGAATAGAAGCCCCTTAAAAATGGGGAGCCAAGAACCCCTGGAGATTGAGCACAGACAACAGGGACCAAGGAAAAGGAGGGAGTCTAGTCATTAGCGCAGATTGGCTGGTAGCCAGGACTCCTGGGTTCTGTTTGTGGCTCAGGGAGGGGAGTGGGGTCTAGTGGGTCGGGTTGTGCTGGAGCCAGGACTCTGGTTTTCAATTCCCAGCTCTGGGAGGGTGGAGTCTAGTGGTTAGTGCAGGGGGATCCAGGATTCCTGGGTTCCATCTCTGGCTCTGGGAGGGGGAGTGCAGTGGTTAAAGCAGGGGCTGCTGAGAGCCAGGGCTCTTGGCTTCGTATTCCAGCTCTGCCACTGACAGGCTCCATCGCCTTGGGCAAGTCCCTTCCTCTTTCTGTGCGTGTGGGGACTGTCCGTACAACAGGGCTAATCCACCCTTCCCAGTGGGGATCCTGAGGAGTCCCTGCTGCGAGGACAGGGCCAGGCTGGCTGTAGATCTCTGCAGCCATCTCTCGTCTCCTCCATCCCTGTCCACACACAGCCCCCGTTCCTGCCCCATAGCACTATCCTCCTCCCGCCCCAGCAGCACCTGTCGACCCCCTGAGCCTCGGGGGAAAGGCCCACATCATTCCAAGCGGGCTGGGCCGGCTCCCCCTTGCTTATCAGCCTCCCCATGGAAAGCGAGGGATAGGGCAGGTGGGGCACAGAATTAGGGCATGTCTACACTGGGGGGAGGAGGGCTTGCCCTGAAGTCACTGGATATCCACAGGGATCTCCTGTGGGGGAGCATTACCAACCCAAGCCAGAGGAGTAGGCCCCAAAGTTTGCCTGAGAGGAAAGTTCAGCCATCCAGCCTGAGCTGCTGCCAGGAGGTGCCCACTTCCTACCCCCCACCCTCAGAGCAGGGTTGTGCCCCCATGTCTGCCCCATCTGCAACCCCCAAGCCCCCTCCCCAGCCCTACACCCCCTATTACCTCCTCCCAGCTGCAACCCCCATACCCCCTTCCCCCAGCTGCAATCCCCACATCCCCTTCCCAGCCCTACACTCCCCATGCCCTCCTCCCAGCTGCAACCCCCCTCCCCAGCCCCACACACCCCCAGCTGCCACCCCTATGCCCTCCTCCCAGCTGCAACCCCCATGCCCCCTCCCCAGCCCTACACCCCTATATACCCCCTTCCTCCAGCTGCAACCCCCCCCAGCCCTACACCCCATATACCCTCCCCCCAGC